CAAGAGTCCCTTCCAGTTCTTCCTCAGAAAATATATTTTTTTTCACTGATTTATATCAAAATGCATGTGCTCTGCCCCTGTATTTGGGCCTGCAGCTTTTAAGTCAAACCTATTTCTCACCCTCAGTACAGAAACCATTGACATGAAATACAGAACTAGCCATCCCCCTTCCTATCCAACTTGGAATTCTTGCACCCACATCAAAAAAATAAAATAAAATAAAAAAGACAGATGAACCAAGTGGTTCTGCCCCCCCCCCAGCTGAAACTTCATTGACATACTACTTACAATGATCTGTTGCTGTAGGCGATGTGACAGGAACATATATGAGGGAAGAGAGAAGAAAAAAAGGAAACTTTAGACAGAAACATAGAAAATGCAGCCTTAACCAAAAGGACATCTACTTAAACCACCCATGTGACATTGTATTAGAACCTGATTTTACAGCCTCTTCCATCCAAAGGGTAGAAGAGTAGGTAGCAGTTTGGTCATATAAAACAAAGAACTTGCAAGCAGGGAAGTGGTGGAAAGGTCAGACCTTATTTGAGTAAATGAGACAACTGCTTCATAGAGCATATACAGAGGGCAGCAAAAGGAGCCTCCCAGCTCTTCCAACTAGACTTCCCCGATGCTCCTCCTCTACTGAACGAGGGTGCTGTATGTGCCAGAGAAAAATGTCCTGATTTCCCCTCAACTAGCCTGCTTCCTGAGGAAAATCACCTTCATGATCACATTACCTCTCATGCCAGATAAGTAGGCTGCCTTGCCTTTTGCCTCAGGCAGCAAAATGTTGTTAAGTTTGGGCCAGGGATGATGGCAGTAATACAGCACAGGACACCAGAACTACCCTACATTATTTTTCCAGGGCAAAGGACAAGTGTTAGTTATACAAACCGAAGCCACATTCCTGCGGTTGCCATCTGCTAGAGGTTGCACCTGTGAGGAAGACGAGAAACAAGGCATGTGCTAGATTTAATAATAATAAGGAATCCAGAAATCATTGTTTTAGAAAAGTGTGTGGAATTTAGCTGAGAGTAAGCAAGACCTGGGCTAGGGAATGTGAGGTCCCTCAGAGGTTGTTCAACTACCATTCCCATCAGCCCTAATCTGTATAGCCAATGGTAGGGATGGGTGGGAGTTGTAGTCCAGCAACATCTGGTGGTCCCCCACATTCCCAAGCCATGATATAGAACATGGTCTAGTAAATTCCCAATCCCACCACATCCTAAAAGGAAGATCACCATTTTGTATTTCCAATGGACCCTTCATGCATTTCTACAGAAGCCAAGCCGTAAAAAAACACGTGATTTTTTTTCCACTCTGCATGGAACAGGAGTTTTAATATCACTGGAAAATTAATCAGCTGAATGTGTTATTGGTATAGAAAAAAAATTAAGCCACGGGAAAGCTTGCAGATGTCACAGAAGTATAGGAGGAAGAGGCATCCAGGAAGCAACCTGGACTGGGGTAGGAAACGTGTGGCCCTCCAGATGCTGTTGGGACTGCAAACCCCACCGCCTCTAGCTGGCATAACCAACGCTGGAGGATGATGGGAGCTGCGGCTCCCAAGCCCTCAGCCACTGGAGCCTGAGGGTCAAACGCTTCCTAAGGAACCAGACTGCTCAACGCCGACCCTTGTTAGCTCAAAACTTTCAGTCACGCCTACTCAAGCTGTTGTCCAACCAAAGGCATTTCTAACACCACTACTCCCGCCCACATCCAAAATGGCACACCCTCGACGCACCGCCAAGCCAATGGGAAAACGCTTTTGTTCTCTTCGGACCACCTACAAATGGCTTCTTAGCCAATCAAGAGCACCATAGACGGGGTTGTTTTTTCCCCCCCTCTTCCTCTGCCCCCACAAAAGGAAACCCACGCCTCCTCCGTTTTTTCCCCTTCGTCACAGAGGTCAACAACATCGCAACCACAACAGGTTCTCTCTACTCACCGAGCGAGGGGCCAGCAAGACCGGCCTCCAAAGCCGCCTAGTAGTAATACTCCAAACCACGGAGCCAGCCATCCTTGAGGCGCCTTTGCGGGAGGGGAGGGGGGTCTGCGCGTGGAATCCGGGAAAGCTGATCCAAGCACCGCGAGACTGGGCATGAAATCTCGCGAGAGCGGAGGCCGCGCGTGCAGAAGAAGGCACTTCCTACCTGGGTTTCCTATTCCGTAGGAAGGAGAGGATGTTCGGAGGAAGTCTTAGGAAGGTGTTACAGGTTAAAAACAAAATAAAAGTAAAACGTACAAATACAAATAAAAAAGACGAAGACGTCTTAATCTTAAATGACAGTTAAGGAGGCATCATTCGACAGCTCTGCTTTTTCTGTTTGTTACAGCCGGCTTCACTCCCTATTGATTGTCCCGGTGATGCACTTGATTTCTGCCCCAGAGAGATTGCCTGAGGCTGTAAAGATCAAAATCCCTTCTGCAAGAAAGTTCAGAGGTTTTGAGCAGTGAGCCTCTGTGTGCATGAGTAGTTTGTCTGACCGAGGGGGAACCTTTCTGGACTGAAGTAATTACAGTATCTGTTTAGCACTAACCAATCATTATTTCCAGACTTTGAATTCAGAAAGAGCCCTGCCTTTCTACTGAACAGGGCCAGATTTAGACCGTGGGGGACCCCATGGCATCTCAGATTCAGTGGGCCCATCATATGCAAGAATTACTGTAAAATGCATGCAAATAACCAAATTTACACATCAAACACCATTTATTGCACATCATTGGCTATTATACGTACAATTATTAAATTAATTCTATAGGTGAAGTAAATGTTCACTTAACACAAACCAGCTCCTCATTGCTTCCCTTCTCAACCACTTTGCCCTTCTCTTTTCATGTTCACTACTAGCACATTTGGAAGTTTCATTCCCAGCATCTCCCAGAATGAAGGTTCCTGAGAAAACAAGGGTTGATCCTGGATATCTGGGCTGGGCTGAGGAGGCATCCCCTTGTTTTTCCCACCAGGAGGACCAAGGACCAGAGATGGCCTCCCAAGTAGCCAGCCTCCAGGTACCTTCAGGTCTCTTGTCTCTGAAAGGTGGAGACTTTCTAGATCTGGATCTATCCCATATCACATTCCATGCATTAGGGAAGACCCATTATTAAAGGGTGTGACTTGTTTTTGAAAAAAAAAGCCTCCTGATTTCTGTGGCCCACATTGAACACCCTTAATCAGGTCTAACCCACCAAGTGGTCTAGTCTTGAAGAAAGATGCAACTTCCATTATTAGAGGGTGTGACTTGTTTTTGAAAAAAAAGCCTGCTGATTTCTGCGGCCCACATTGAACACCCTTAGTCAGGTCTAACCCACCTAGTGGTCTAGTCTTGAAGAAAGGTGCAACTGTCTTTCCAGCCTTTTGACGGGGAATGGGAGGGGAACCTCATCTTGTTCTTTCTGACATTTTTTATGTCAGCCTGAGATGTGCACAGAAACACAATCGTCATAAAGCACATGATGGTGTGCTTCCTGCCAATACCTGGGGTCAGTGCAAAGAGGCAGATCCCAAATAAAAATGTGAATCCATGAGGATCCATGGCTTGGATCCATGTCTTTCTCCCTCTCCAAAGCCATACACTAGACCCATAATTTCTGTGTTGTAGGCTGTGGGCGTAGATTGATAGTGGCTTCAGGATGATCTTACATCAAAATCATTTGGACCCTTGAGGAATTCTGCTACAGATCCATGTTTTTGCCCCACTGCAGTGGCAGGCTCTGAAGGACCCACAATCTTTCATGTTGTAGCCTGTGAGTACAAATAGGACTTAATATTTGGCAGTGGTTTGGGGGCAGATCCCACATAAAATCATGTCGATTCATGAGGATCCGTGCTTTGGATACATTTTTGTACCACTGGAAATCCATGCAGTGGGGGACCCATGATTTCTGTGTTATAATCTTCATGTGCAGATGGGGCTATGATTGGACATGATTTGGAGAGTATATTACAGGAAAATATAGAATCCATGAGAATCCATGTCTGATAACCAAATTTTTGCACCAATGTAAAGCCAAGCACAGAAGAACTCATGGTTTGTTTGGTGTAGTCTGTGGGTGCAAATTGGATCTGTGACCTTACAGTGGTTCAGGGCAGATTCCATCTAAAAATCATATAAAATCATGACGATCTGCGACTCGGATCCATATTTTGAGCCACTGCAAAGTGATGAAGAATCCATGATTTTTGTGGTGTTGTCTGCAGGTACATATAAGATTTACGGTTCGATGGTGATTTGGCGAAGATCCCACATTAAAAAATCGTATGAAATTACGAGGATCCGTTATTGATTTTTTTACTTTCTTCCCATAAAAAGAATTCGCGACTTGGATCCATTTTGAGCCACTGCAAAGTGATGAAGAATCCATGATTTTTGTGGTGTTGTCTGCAGGTACATATAAGATTTACGGTTCGATGGTGATTTGGCGAAGATCCCACATTAAAAAATCGTATGAAATTACGAGGATCCGTTATTGATTTTTTTACTTTCTTCCCATAAAAAGTTCCTGTGGTTACATCAAAAACGACGCTGATTGCGCTACTGCTAACACCGCCGATGAAAACGACCCTCTCAGCAAGTACATATAAGATCTGCAGTTCGGTGGTGATTTGGTGAGAATCCCACATAAAAAATCGTATGAAATAACGAGGATCCATTATTGATTTTTTTTAACTTTCTTCCCATAAAAAGTTCCTGTGGTTACATCAAAAACGACGCTGATTGCGCTACTGCTAACACCGCCGATGAAAACGACCCTCTCCTTCCCAAATTAACTCGGAAGCAAAGAGCATGTCGTACCATTCTACTTTTTGTATTTATGATTCAGGCTCTTCGTGGCCCCTCCGTCCCTGGGTTCTCGCGTAGGCCAACATCTATGGTTCTGTGTGTCCTAGAGTGGCACCATTGATAAACGGCGCGCAGGCGCCTCGGCCCTTTCTTTCCGCTCGGCGAGGTGAGTGCATGTGTGAGATGGCGGCTGCTAGGCCCAGGCCTGCCTAGGAGCACTGGGGCCCGAGCTTTTCCCCTGTGTTATTTTTTCGTACCAGTAACCGACTCTTTACGCTCCCTTCTCTTTCAGACCCGCAACCATGGGCCGCCGCCCCGCGCGTTGGTGAGTTTGCCGCCCCGGAGAATAGAGAGACGGCGGATCGGGGCAAAGAGAGCGTGGTTGGCCGCCGTGTGGGTTGGGGAGGGCGGAAGGGCGACGCGGCTCCCTTGCCTATAACGAGGCTAGGGGGAGAGGGTTCCTTAAGGAAAGGGGGAGGCAGCCTTTCTCCTGCGTCGCCCTTTCCCACCTGATTTTGCTGCACACCAGGATTGTGATCTAAGAATGATTAGTTAATTATTGATCACAGTGAGCCAGATGGGGTCCCTCTGTTCGGTGGTTGCTGTCTAGTGAGGTGGCTGTGAGTGGCCCGCCAGGATCTCATTCGCCACTTGCTGGGAGTCAGAAGATTTAGCAGATTTAGTAATCTGCTCTTCAGTGGCGGCTTACTATGTTATCAAGGTGGCTTTGAGGAATTGCCACTGTGCAGCCTGATCTAGGGATTCAGGGCAAGAACTCCATGTTTATTTAAGAGATGGCCTGTTTTGTTCCAGCTGTCTGGTCTGTTGTCCTGTTTCCAAAAGTGTCTCTGGGAAGCCGACAGGCAGGATATGGAGACAAGCCTATATTACTTTTTCTTCCTACCCACTTAAAGCATCTCCAGCCTCCTGGAAATGCTGGGAGGCAGAATGAGGACCCAAATAAGTTGTACTGTGTCTACAAAAAACAAATCATGAATCCAACCCACTAGATAGCACACACAACTGTTCACTCTTAGGAGCATAGATGTAACCATTGCTGCTTCTGAAATTTAGCTATCAAAATCCAGCCTTAAAGTGACATATAGTATTGGCTATTTGCTGACCAGTAGAATTTGATTCAGGGTCCTATAGGAAGGAAGGACTTAAAAGTCCTTTATATAGTCCTCAATTAGCTCTTGTTTGTAGATATTATAATGAGATTCTCTTAGAGCACGTGTAAAGTGTTTCCATACTGTACCACAATGAACTTAAAAGTGTTACTAGGTCAAAATGAAGTTCAGATAAAGTAGTGGGAGGAGTGAATTTTGTCATGCCTCCTCCAACAATAAATAAAGAATTATTTCTCCATTCTTTTATGATTTGCAGTAAATTTGTATTTAATCACTCTTTTGTTAGGCTAAAACAACAAGAAATCACATGTTACAAAGCATTTACTATTCCAAATTGAAAAATTAATAGATATTAGAAATATAGTGTATTGTTGTGGTATGGAACTGTCCATCTTTCTAGTCCTAGTATGAAGTGTTTCTAAGGTTAGCAACGTTCATATGCTTGCTTTTTTGGGGGTTTTTTTTTGTTTTTTTTGGTTTTGTTTTTGTTTTTTGTTTTTGTTTATTAGCAACGTTCATATGCTCGTTTTTTTTTATTTGCAAAACATATGAGGGATCTCTATTTCAGATCCCCACTCACTTGCTTACTGACAGTTGCAGACTTTCTCTTCAATACAGAAGATTGTATTCTGTAGAGGCAGTAATGAGAACTGCTGGATAACTCAGTGGCTTAGGCATCTGGCTGTAGTGCCAGAGGTTGCAAGATCAATTTCCCACTGAGCCTCTTTGAGAGGGGCTGGACTCAATCTATAGGGTCCTTTCCATCTCTGCTGTTCTCTAAGATTATTGTGATTATTTGGACAGAATGTGCATTCTGATAGTGCTGGGTGGAAGATGAGGAGATGGAATTTGGTCTTTTATTTATTAATTTATTGTTATTGTCATAAAAAAACCCCTTACTCAACAATGTGTGTTTTTCCTTTAGCTATCGATACTGTAAAAACAAGCCTTACCCCAAGTCCCGCTTCTGCAGGGGCGTTCCTGGTAAGTAGGCAATGTTCCTTGCTGCTATGAATTCCTTTAGGGTGTTTGTGGGGTTGCATTTGTGACTTGAAATTGAAGGCAATGTGAAATTTAACCTGTAGTGGTATCTCCTGTTAAGACACAATAGCTTAGCCAAGGTGCCATCTTATTTGGCCAATAACTTCCTTAGGGAATTTCAGAGTACACAGCTTAGGCTTTTGGTTCTCATGTAGCAATTCCTAATTGAATTACTTTCCCTTCAGATCCCAAGATCAGGATTTTTGATCTGGGCAGAAAGAAGGCTAAGGTTGATGAATTCCCACTGTGTGGACACATGGTATCTGATGAATATGAGCAGCTGTCATCTGAAGGTAAGGAACAGGTCATGGTGTGTACAGGCTGCTGTTAACGGAGCTTTTGTGTTCTGCTGCCTTCATGCTGCACCTCTCTCCACAGCTCTGGAGGCTGCCCGTATCTGCGCCAACAAGTACATGGTGAAAAGTTGCGGCAAAGATGGCTTTCACATCCGTGTACGCTTGCATCCTTTCCATGTTATTCGTATCAACAAGATGTTATCATGTGCTGGAGCTGATAGGTAAGGAATGTGCTAGAGACCCAGCTGGGGGGGTGTCCATGAGAGAGGACGCAGTCAATTAAGCCGACCAACCCCTGCTGCTATCAGTGGCTGGTGTGCACTGGCTGCGCACAGCAAACCCCTTGGTTGTGTACGTGCTCCGTGCCTCATACAGAGCACCTTAAGGGACCTTGGGAACACTTTTGTCTCTGAGTGAAGTGGAGATGTGGCTGTCTTGGCCTCTGTTTCCAGACATTCTGGTAAGAGGCCTTGACTAATGGTATACCAGCATAGTTCACTCCTTGTAGATTAAAGGTTTACATCTTGGTTTTTCTCTAGGCTCCAGACTGGGATGCGAGGAGCCTTTGGTAAGCCTCAGGGCACTGTGGCCCGTGTCCACATTGGGCAGGTCATCATGTCCATTCGTACCAAAGTGCAGAACAAGGAGCATGTAATTGAAGCGCTGCGCAGAGCCAAATTCAAGTTCCCTGGTCGCCAGAAGGTAGCGTGTATTCATTATGCTGTGGTCTTTAATGTATGATTATTTTTAATGCACGATTTAAATGTCCAAATTCAATAGTGATACCATATGATTATTTTGCAGATTTTACAGTAATTTAATCCCAGGCAGAAAGATCTATGTCAATGGTTCCCAAGCAAATGATCTTGGGTTGCAGTTCCCAGAGGACCTAACCAGTATAGCCAGGGCTTCTGAGAGTTATAGTCTAGAACGTACGGGGGCCTAAGTTTAGGAACCACTTCTTCCTTGTTCATGTCAAGGAAGTGGAAGGATCAAGTGGAAGGGTGCTGTCACTGCCCAGGGGGCACCCAAATGTGTTTGCCATCTTCACATTCTTGGAGGAGGCTCTTTTCTTATCCCCCACTGACCTATATGAATTTTCCATACTCGTGTGTCATTCTAGGTTACTGTTAAGTAGCACATAGGGACAAGTATGTGATCTCATTCTTGGTTAAGTGGGCACAGGCTGATATGCAGTAGTAGCACATTGTAGGGATACATATGCCCAGATACTTCTTCTAACAAGTATCTTGGGTCAATCCTCTCTTCCCTCTCCATTTCTTTCCAGATCCACATTTCCAAGAAATGGGGCTTCACCAAATTCAACGCCGACAAATTTGAGGAAATGGTGGCTGAGAAGCGCCTCATTCCGGACGGCTGTGGTGTTAAATACATCCCCAACAGGGGCCCTCTGGACAAGTGGCGGGCCCTTCATGCTGCATGAGTGCCTGATCAGTCTGTGGGCTGCTTTGTTCAGTTTTATGTTTGAAGGAAGAGTCATGAGAATAAACAGATCTGTCTAATTTGCTGTGTCATTGTTAGCATTGGAGTTTGGGTCTGTTATCTAAAATCAACACAGAAAAATATCTGTGTTGATTTCAGACAGTTGAGTTCAGCCTGATGTGTCAAGTTTGCAAAAGGGAGAAAGAATAGATTTGCACAAAAGGTTTAGTTGGTTGCAAAGCCAATTATTACGTCAGAGGGAGTGGCTATATTGGAGAGTTGAATCAGAATGATTCAGCTTTGCTGCAATTTGATTCACAAGCTTGATTCACAATCTGAAATCGTAAACAGTGCTCACACAGAGGCTGTGGATTGATTCAGGAGTTCTCAATTCATGCTGCCTGCAGTGCAAGCCCTATTCCAGCCCACACACATACCCCTCTCGCTCCTTTCTTGGTCCCCCCTCTGATGATCTTTTAATGGTTTGTAGCCCAGAGAAGTTCCATACCCCAGAGCCAGGAGGAGATGCATCTGAGAGCTGAGGAAGATCTGTCTTCACAGCACAGTGAGACTTTGAGGGTCGGGATGAAGCAGCGGAAACCCCAACTTAGCTGCAGATCCATATTGGGTTTCACAATTAGGTGACTTGATCTGACATAACCTTGATTTTGGGAAGGGGACAAGATACACAGGTCCTGAAGTCTGAACCACTGGAGACATTTAAGCCAACTATTGCTTGTAAAATAAAATTTAATGTGCTTTGAGTGCAACTTTGATAGGAAAAGTCACTTTAAATGCTTAAATGACTCAAATTTTATAACTGGGCTAGAAATGTGCTATTTAAAACAACAATATCTGAAGAAGTTTGTTGCAATCCATGCAATGTTATGCCACATAAAGAGTGTTAGTTTGTAAAACTGCAGAGCAGACAAAAATGGGATTTTTTTACAAGTTCCCTTTGCTTCACCTTTAGTTTCAATGAATAGGACTGTTAAAGGCTTAGAGCTCTCGTTGAGCCTTAGGAGAAAGCTGCAGGTTCACCTCTACAGGGTAGTGGTCACTGACTTCGAGAGCCTGTAGAAATGAGAGAGTAATGGTTATCCAGGCCTCTTGCTACCTTGGTCAGGCCTACAGCTTGTGCTGCAGATACTGTTTCTTTGGCTTGTCAAGAAAGGAGCCAGATTTCACCCACCTCTTCTTCAGTTAGTCGAAGTACCTCTGTGAAGTTGAAAGGTTTGGCTGATCCAGGCACAACAGCAGCAAGTAGCTCTTCCCCGTGGACTATGATCCTAGGAGAAGAAATCATTGGATGTGGATGGTAGGGCTCCCTTCTGACTTCCCCACCACCACCTGCTTGTAACTCCAAGGAGTCAGTCTTTGAATGCAATCACACATAGAAATAGATTGCATTCTGGACTACTGTACTTGTGGAGCAGTCCTGTGTGATGCTTCCCAGCAATCAGAAGACATGGGGAAATGCACTCTAGCCTCACCACGATCCATGCCCAAGCTGCATCTTTCTTGGTCCAGCCTTAGTGTTACTCTTTTCAGACAGGACTTGCGGAAATGACAGAAGCATCATTTTAAGGGAGGTAAAGGTAAAAGTTCCCCTTGACAATTTTGTCCAGTCGTGTCCAACTCTAGGGGGCGGTGCTCATATCCATTTCCAACCCACTGAGCTAGTGTTTGTCCCAAGACAATCTTCTGTGATCACGTGGCCAGCATGACTAGACACGGGACACTATTACCTTCCCACCGTGGTGGTACCTATTTATCTACTCGCATTTACATGCTTCAAACCACTAGGTTGGCGGGAGCTGGGACAAGCAACGGGAGCTCACTCTGTCACATGGATTTGATCTTACGACTAGGTCTTCTGACCTTGCAGCACAGAGGCTTCTGTGGTTTAACCCGCAGCGCCACTATGTCCCTTATTTAAGGGAGATAGCTCCTGTTAAAACAACCCTTTCTGGTGTGATCAGGAAAACGCCTTTCTAGCCATCTTGCTGAACTCTGCCATAGCAAGTAGAGCTTTGGAATCAAACTGAATAAAAGCTGTAGGACCGTGTGAGCTGCCTGCTGTAATCAACAGTGGTCTTCCTGTCTTTCTACTATTGCATTGCTATCTGCACCCCAACAGGGAGCAAAACACTTCATAGCAGGGGGAAGGCAGCATGCACGTGAGTGACTACGGACAATACCATGGCACACAGGTTTATTTTAGAATCTTGCCCAGTGCCGGACAACTCATGACCCTCCAAATGCTGTTGGATTCCAATTTCCAACAAGAGTGTTCAGCCTGGCCAATGTAAAAAGGGACACTATTTCAGCAAGATGTGGAGGGCTACACATGTCCTACCATCCCAAACATTAGGGATAAAAGGACTGTTTTTTTTCCTGGGTGCAAAGGAAGTCATCTTTGAAAAAAGTAGGTGGCTGAAACAGAAAATGTACCACCAGTACCTGTCATAGGCACAGCAAGTCCGGTGGCTGACTGTGGTGTCCACTGCATCACTGATAAGCCAGTGGAAGGCAGGGTCATTACGCAGACGGATTCCAGCCCAAGCACTTGCCGGGACGTAGGCACCAGCAGCATTGAGATCACCCAGCACCATCACATTCTGATCAGATGGGATCAAGGGGAGAGAAGAAGTATAGGTGAATATTCTCTTCCCTGTTTTTGTCTAGTTAGCAACTTCTCTCCCCCAACCTCCTCCAGTAAGGTACCTCCGTTTTCCACTTTTGCATCAGTTCCATGCACACTTCAAACAGCAGGTCTAGCTCATGGGCAGCTTCTCGTGGACTGGCATGATGTAGGAGTAGGACAAACTCTAGGATGGCTGTTATTGTGAACGATAGTGGGTCAAACATTGGGAGAGTGCAGTAGAATTTTCCCATCTCTAATTGTTGTAAGTATATTTATGGGTGGATGCCTGCATGCACACGCAGTGGCTGTAGCACTGTTTGCTTTTTACCAAATGGGTTTCTAGTCCTACTGGCTGGGAAAGTGTGATTGACAGAAAATGTTGGAAATGCCTGTTGAAATTTCAGAAGTGGAATAGATCAGTGTATCAGAGATGTGGTTATGGCTCAGGCAAGGCTGACATATCCCACATTGCAATTTCTTCTATCAAACAGGTAGAACAACAGAAAAAATAACAAAAAGGGAAACTTGGCTAAAGAAATGGTTCATACCGATTCATGGATGGCCACAAGGTGGAACCCAAAATGTATTATTCTAATATAGAGAGATAGGGTTGTTCTATAGATGTAATGGCATGCAGTCTGGACAAAGTATGCTAGCATAACACTGCAGCTCCCCCTGACACCCTGGAGAAGATATTTCAGACTGACCCCTTGCACAGATTGTTGAATTTAATGTTTTTTTAAGCCAGAATTCCAAGATTGCAGGTAAAAAATATACAACAGTTCTACCGATAACCCTACATTCCCTGTAATCTTCCTGAAGTTAGTAGGGTTAATAGAGCAGATGATTACAAACAGCAGAAGTAGTTCCCACCAATTTATTTTCAATGATATGTATTCATTACCATTCTCATAATGCCTTCAGGGACTAGGAATGTTCTATGTATGAGAATCACCAGAGTTCAGTCCTTAAAATTGGTATCAATTGTGCCCAACTGATGCATCCCGCAGGCTTTCAAACATGACTCAGCTCCTTGTTTTGTTAACCATCTGTGGACTTGTATCCAGAACAACCTCTTGGAGACCCACCACACAGAGGCCTTACCTGTGTATGAAGAACGGAAGCGGGCAGCAAAGGGTGCCCTAACAAAGGCTTCAGAGTCCCCCAATTGGCACCAGTCAATAACCGACACAATATCCTTCCTGTCAATGAGAAAACCATAGGCATGAAAATCAGTGTGTGTCCAAGGGGCTTTCATAGTTGGAAAAATTAAGCATAACAAATCCGGGAAAACTTCCCCCTAGAAAGCTTCTCTCTTTCATATTTTTGTCCGCTGTATATACAAGAGGTCTTAAGAGATCTTAAAAAGATGTGAACTGTGATGGATCTGTTATAAGCCTGTGTGTGTGTGTGTGTTCTGTGCTGTGAACTTATAGCAACCCTAATAGGGTTTTGAAGGTAAGCAAGATACAGTATTTAAGGAGTGGTTTTACCAGTTTCCACTCGCCCATTGAGTTTTCATGGCTGAGTGGGAACTTGCACCCTGTTGTCCAGAGTTCTAGTTTGTCACTCTATCCACTACACCACACTGGGAATTCTCTGTAAGCATACCATACGGTTATTGGTGGTAGTGGCAGTATTACAGTATTTAACATCTACATGGAACCGCTGGGAGAGGTCCTCAGGAGGTCTGGGCTGAGGAGTCAGCAATATGCTGACGACACTCAGCTCTACCTCTCGCTTTCCACCAATCCAGGTGAGGCAGTTTCTGTGCTGAACTCGTGTCTGGACCTGATAATGGACTGGATGAGGGTTAATAAATCGAAACTCACCTACCCAGCCCTCTTAACCAGCACTCTAATCCCACAAGGCAAGACTGAAGGTTGCACTTACGGAGACAGTAAACTTGTGTAGAGGTTCATACCATTTCAGAGGCTGCAGCTGTGTGAATCCCATAATTTGGGTGTTCCTCCATGGCAATAATTATTATTTTTCTACAAACTATCCTAGCCTTTGGTCTGACAACTGTGTTTTCTGTGTGGAAGGATTTAGTTATTATCGGTAACGTCATATCAAGTGAGGCCCTCCCAGGACTTCAAGATGGTTCAGCCCTGAGGGGAACCTATGGGGGAGCTAGGACGGGGTGCTTCATCTGCATTGCTGTGACATTCAGCAGTTCCCTCACAAACGTTGGCTTTTATACATGATATCTGAAACCCATCTTCAAATGGCTGCTTAAGTAACCAGTTAATTTGACTTCTGGAGGGTTAAGAGTTACTGACTCATCGTCCATAAAAAGTGTGTCCTACAAGTCTGACATTAACTTCAGAGGACAGGGTGGGAAAGAGGTATAAATATAACTAATATAAAACTATGCTTCCGTCTGGCAGGGAATCCCTCCAGCCCTGTACTGATTTATAGCAACCCTAATAGGACTTTAAAGGTAAGGGAGACATTTAAAGAGTTAATATAAAACTATGTCTGCCAGGGAATCCCTCCAGCCCTGTACTGATTTATAGCAACCCTAATAGGACTTTAAAGGTAAGGGAGACATTTAAAGAGAAGTTTTACTAATTCCACATTCCTTGGCCAAATGGGGATTTGAACCCAGGCCTCCGGAGACATTTAAGGAGTAGTTTTAATAATTCCACATCCCTTGGCCAAATGGGGATTTGAACCCAGGACTCCTGAGTCCTGGTCTGTCACTGTATCCAATACACCACACTGGATATCACTTTCAAATCTTACCGATACACAAAGACCATCTGCTCCTTGTAGCTGCCTCTCCCCAGCCTCTTGCTCTCTAGATGGCGGTAGTGATGAGAAGAATCATGTCTGCCCATGAAAGAAAGTTATCATGCCATTTTGCCTACACATGCCATTTGCCTGTGTGTCCTCCAAGATAATGGAAGTGCAAACCAATGGCTGGTTTGTGCATGCAAAGAAGTGTCTGGAGTCCTGGCCCAGGGGATTCTCTAGCTCGAGAAGGAACAGCAAATGGTGTCCTCCTCTCCTAATCAATGGGCATCAGACCCGAAGGTGCCTCAAATTATTTTAGCATCTGAGGCAGGAAAGCCATGAAACACCGTTCCTGGCAGTAAGAATGTAAGACTAAATTATATGACTATAGTATGCATAAAAATAATTATAAAAATAAAATAACTAACATTGTGCATCCTCTACATACTCAGCTTGTTGTTGTTGTTGAAATCACGTCATTACCTAATGGCAGGTGGTATTTGAGAAAAGGGTGGCAAAATTAAGAGAATGGAAGAAGGGAACACACAGCTTCTGACCACAGGTGGGAAGTGTCTCTTAAGACCTACACCCGCCCCTCAACCCATCCATGAATACAAATAAACCCAACCTTCCTTAGCCTGGTGCCCCCAAATGTTTTGAACTGAAAATCCCACAAGACTCAGATGATAACCAATGGAGAAGGGCTATGGGAATGAAAATCCCAAAGATTTGGAGGGCACCAGGTTGGGGAAGGCTTTGTCAAGTAGACCCTGTATTCCTAATACAGCCCTGTACTTCAGCCCTTTTCTTCATGTGCTCATAGCAGTGGGAGGCCAACACTTAAAATATTCGTCCCACTTGCAGCCTGAAGTGGTTCTGCCTGTTGTGCTCCTGCACACACAGAGACTGAGCTTGTGTTTGGAAGTATCAGCTAGTACCTGTTCAACTCCCGAAGTAGTATCCGAATAGCTGAGCCCCTGGCATCCCGCACCTCTTGCACAGCAGAGATATCACAGCGAGAAAGGATCTGGTAATAGAACAGCCATGTGTTGCAGAGTTCTGAATTTCTGGTAAAATTCCTTTTTGCTATGCAGTAGAGGTACAGAGATCTACAAAGGAGAATAGCTACAAGTTCCCCAGAGCCCATTTCTTTCTCATTAACTAGCACTTGAGGTCTCAGAAACTTACTCTGAAACATTTGGAGGAGGAATTTTTTTAAAAAGTTACTTACAGTAGCTTGAAATTACAGACTTGTGCATGCTGCTCAAACTTACTCTGAAACATTTGGAGGAATAATTTTTTAAAAATTTACTTACAGTAACTTGAAATTACAGACTTGTGCATGCTGCTTTCTTTTCTACACATATATTTGTCGACCACCTGAACATATCAGCAGCAAACAAACAACTGCCTTCAGCCCAGGAAAGAGCACTGAGCACACAGAACATGTTGCTTGAGAAACGTGTATGAGAACTAGCTTGCTGCCCTGTTATGTAGTCAAGAGGAGAAGTTTGGTATTATTTTCTCTAAATTCTGAAGGAGACTGGTGTTCCATGTCCACAGTGAACCACCTTAAATTGTGAGTGTGGCTTCTCACACGGTCTCTGAGCAGATGAAAAATTGGGTGTCTAAAGAGAGCCTAATTTCCTCATCCTTGTGTCCCTAGAGCAACCAATCTTCTTGTTTTAAGTGCTGTCAAGCACGTGTCCATGAAACCTGCAGGCTGTGAGTGATTATATTTCTGAGAGGAATACTAGGAAGCTCACACCTCTCCCTCTGTCTATTGCACAATTATTCCCTCTTTCTACGAAAACATATTAGCCATCAGACAAAACACTGTAAACAGTTGGGATGTGTTCTTCCTCTCTCCTCCCCACCCCCAGAGGATTGCTCTACCTGTCAACCAATTTACTAATTATATTTGCAGACATGGGATGCACCAGGGCAGGCTCTTGTTTTTAAAGCTCACCCACACCATCTCCCTGTAAAAAGTCTCCCTGGTTCATCGTTTTCATCAGACAGTTATTAAAGGTACAAGTGTAGTGGCATCGCTTTGAGCCACGCTACTCACTTATTGAACCTTGGGGTCAACCCTTGATGTCAATAGGCAGTACTGGTGTCTCCTCCGTGCTCTAAACCACTTCGAATGGCACAGTCCTTTTGAGAGGCAGCCACATTTCATAGGACATCTAAGTCCAATTGGGGAAGATTTCAGCCATAGCCCTATTGGTCTGTTTCAGCAAAAGCTTGAACAAGGCAAAAACAGAAATATTGTGAGACTAACACATACATTTCAATGTAATCTTTAGTAGATGTACAGTAATCCACTCCTTTAAACTCAAGCAAGCAAATCTTTAGTAGATGTAATCCACTCCTTTAAACTCAAGCAAGCACCTGAAGAAGTGGACTGTATCCACAACAACTCACACTAAAATCAATTTGTTAACCTCAAAAAACTACCATTTTCTTGTTTCTGTAATTGGGGAAGATGCATATTCTCTAATCTCTTTCAGCAGTACAGAAGATACTGTAGGGGTGTATGGCCCAAGGTATGATCCAATAAAAGGTATCACCCGGGGTGTATGGCACAAGGTATGATCCAATAAAAGGTATCACCCACTCCTTGTTCTTTCTGGGAGTGGGGATGTAAAACTTGCTTTGAACTCAGGTACATAGAATTTGCAGTTTGCACCTGTGCACCCGGTGGTCTTAATTGCTCGGCGTGGCACAGGGTCTTCTTAGGAAAAGCCCTGCCCCGTCACTAACACCACCCCATCCTAGGCATGTCAGGTCATTTGCAATTATTCTTTTGCAGTGGCTGGGATTGACTCAGAGGTACTGTATCCAGAGTAGTGGTGACAAAGAATTAAGCAGGCCATTCTCAAAGGTACAATTTCCTTTGCATAAAAATAATATTTCTTAAAATGCTTTATATAGAGAGCCTGATATCAGTCCATCTAGATCAACTGTAGTCTGTGTGCTATACCAAGGTGTTGCTGCTGTTGTTATTTTCAGGTTAGGTCTTATTTTAGGGGAAACAGAGGATGATGATGATGATGATGATGATGATGATGATGATGATGATGATGATGATGATGATGATGATGATGATGATGATGTTGTTGTTGTTGTTGTTGTGAATCACACTTAATCTCAATTGACACATCATCCTTGCTCAAAAGAAGTTTTGTTACAGGTTCTTATGCAACCTTGTATCATGGATCTACTGAACTATTTTTTCCCCTGCCTTTTGTATGTTGTATTTATAATCCCCTGCAGAACCACCTAAGAACCACGTCTGCCTATGCAACCTTGTATCATGGATCTACTGGACTATTTTTCCCCTGCCTTTTGTATGTTATATTTATAATCTCCTGCAGAACCACCTAAGAACCACGTCTGCAGCTCCTGCATGGGGATATGTATCTGTGTGCATGCAGTGCCTTTGCAACTGTCCTCCAATCTCTCATCCATTTTTTTTTCATTCATTACATTTATACTCCACTTTCTCATTAGTTTCAGATACAGGGCTCTCCTCCCTCCCACTTTATCCTCACGACAACCCAGTCTGGCATTTTAGAAGGAGAATGAATGACTGGTCTACGATCATCTAGTGAATTTCACGACTCAGTGGAGACTCGCCCTAGCCCAATTCACTCACCACACCAGCTCCCTGTAGAGTTTCCAAGCCAGGTTGGGAACCCCGCTTTGAACCAATGAAGCATTCCTTTTTTTCTATCCACATCACTTGCGGACTCACCTGGACAAGAGTTCCCATGACCTTCCGGTTCGATGCTTTGGCTCTCCCAAAGCTGCGGATGTTGAAAGCACAAATTTTGAAGGTCGAAGCTGTCAGCAGTCCACCTGCCAGGAGAAGCAGCAAGATGGCGGCGTGTGTCATGCCTAGGATTCCTAGATGAATAAATGTTTGCATGTTCATATCCATCTAACCAGGAGGGGAAATGCTTGCTGAGAGAGCTACACTGCTGTATCAGCAGCCAGGCAGGAGAGGATACAGGCCTTTGTGCTGTTTTGTTGAGCCTGATGTGTGACGGTCCAGCAAAGAAAGTGCTGGGCTGCCCCAGCGTGGTCACTTGCTCTGGGAGAAGGGAAGGCAGAGACTCACTTCCTCTTCCCATGCCTCATTAGATTCTAGCATATTTCTAGATCTGTCAAAAAAAAACAAATCACCAGCATGAGTTATGTTTCTCTATATGTATGCTCTCAGAAATGTTCTGGAAGGATAGTGTTGTCAAAGGTCCTATAAAAACCACACATGCCAGTTCTCTTTTATCAGCTCATTCTTTTATTGATCTTGCAAAAAATATTTCCGTCTTGAGAGCATTAAACATAGTACAGCTGAGATGACACTAGTGTTTCTGGATGTGTAAATTATATGCATCATGGAGGATCCTTTTGAGGAATTTTGTAGGAGACATGTTGGATTTTCTGTTGGTGATTTTTAAAAATAGTCTAAGCATTCAAAGAAGTATTCGCGAAGGCTTTCATAGCCGGGATCTAATGGTTGTTGTGGGTTTTTCGAGCTCTTTGTCCGTGTTCTGAAGGTTGTTCTTCCTAATGTTTCGCCAGTCTCTGTGGCCGGCATCTTCAGAGGACAGGAAAAACACCAGCATGTGATTTCTGTTCTCTGAAGATGCCGGCCACAGAGACTGGTGAAACGTTAGGAAGAATAACCTGCAGAACACGGCCAAAGAGCCTGAAAAACCCACAACAACCATTCAAAGAAGGACAGTTTGTAAAACATTCCTGGTTTAAAACAGTACATAATGGTGGCAATAAGCACCCATAAATAGAATTGAGGAATTACCACTGGGAAAAAGCACAAAGCAAAGATAATTAGATGATCTCATGTTCTAAATTTCAAATCAGTACTTTGGTTAGAGCAGCTCAAACGATGCTTCAAAATTTCAGCAAGGACAATCTCTCTCTCTCTCTCTCTCTCTCTCATACACACACACACACACACACACAGAGAGAGAGAGAGAGAGAGAGATGAAATTACTCCACTTTAACAGTGATTAACTTTGACTGAATTACATTTGTCTGAAATGCCTACAGGCAACAGTGAAAGCAGAAAGGCACAAACAGGTACTGAGCACCAGAAATACATCACAGTGTTCCAGAAAAAAAATCACAGAGTTCTGCATTCTCATTAAACAACACAGGGATTCTGCTAATGTGTCTTGTCCATATTCACTCCTCTTTATAGGTGCCTGTAGTTGAAGAGGAACATGAACTTCAGTTACCTAGACATCCTTTTTTGTTTTTTGTTTTTTTGGTGAACACTTCCCATTCTAGGTTCATATTTTTACAGCCTTTACTGTTTTTCCCCCTTTGAAACAAACTCTTCTGCTGTTCAGAAAAAAATGGTATGTATGAGCACATAACTTTTAGAAGAACCCTACAGAGCATGATGTGAAATGATACCACTTTTAAGAACAGTAGATTATTCAACCCTCACCACTGAAGACTAGGGAGAGGTAGATCTAGGTTACTCGTAAACTTTATAAATAATAATGATAATAATAATAATAATTATCATGTACCATCAAATCAATTCTGATTAATGGCAAACTTTTTTAGGGTTTTTCAGGTAGAGAATACTCAGAAGTGGTGCATCATAGCTTTCTTATAGGGGTGTCTTGGAACTGTGCAGCTTGCCCAAGCCCACACAGGCTGGCTCTACTCACAGGAAGCACAGATGCTGTGGCATCTTTCTCTGAGGGGAGTGCCATATCATAACCAAAGCTTGTCTTTGGAGCCTCAAACTTTATAAATAGTTTTTCCAAAATAGCTCTTAGGTAGTGGGAGAATCAGAGATTGGGAAAATGGTTTTTCTTTTAAGCAGGAAAGCATCTGTCATGGATAATTTTGGAGGTTTGGAGATGTCAATTTCTAAAGATTATTCCTACATCCAAAGGAAAAAAAGCAACACCCTGCATTTCTGAGACTTTCTCTTTGCTCTAAAATGCAGGCAGGGGACTGCACATCATGTAATTCTCCTCTTAAAAATCCAAATATTCCCTTCTTGCATACAGAAAATTAGCACATTAGGGTGATTCTGAAATAGCTGCCTAAAGGTATGGTTACACTATGAAATGAAAGGGGACACAGTTTGAAATAGGTTTAAAGACACATAGTAGTCATGTGGTTTTTGGGTTGATGTGTCCATCCTCTTGGGAAACCCTTTAATGACTTTTAAAACTGTGTTATATATTGGTTGAGGGAACTACATGGGCTTTTAGAATAACTGCATTTGAGGCTTTGTTCTGTGCCCACCTGCCCTCACACTGGCTGCCTCTCACAGCCACTAGATGTTGCTGCTGTGGCATTTTTGATTGATTGATTGATTGATTGATTGCAATCTGACATAGCACTAGTTCAGTATGACAGAAACATTTTAAAAACATATCAGAGTCCAAGCTCTCCCTGCAGCCCTACACACGTGCACGGAGACTTACAACTGGCAGATGACAAGAGTGGCTAAACAGAAGACACACCAGAAAAATTTACAAGATTGGCAGCTTTTCGACTTGTTAAAGAGATAGTGCTTTCCCCCACACAACTTTTCTCTCTCTGCTGGCTTCCTTTTCATATTGGACTACAAGGTTTTTCTGCAGCCCAATACCCATGATCCTCGCATCTATTACTTGACAAATTCCCACAGACACAGTTTACACCCACAGAGGCATTTCAATATGCCAAAATAATTCAAAATAAAATTATATCGCAAGCAATTTAAAATAAATGGCCCTCTTGCAGCTGAGTAAAATACCTTCCTTTCCAACCAAAAAAAAAAAACCAACCCAAAAAAACATGTTGCTTGGGCAAAATAAAAAATAAAAAAAATGTGTTGTGGAGTCAGAATTTTTAAAAATTGATTTCAGACATGCTAAACCCAATTCAAACCCAATTTTCCCCACCCACACACACACATGTAATCAAGCCCTTGGATGGCTATTGTTCTGACTTTCCCTGGTTAAAAGCAGGAGTTTTTCCAGCCCTATCTGGAGATGCCAAGGACTGAACTCAGTACCTTTGTAATGCAAACCATGTACTGAGCTGCTGTGGCATCGCTCTCTGATGGGAGTGCCATATCATAACCAAAGCTTGTCTTTGGAGCCTCAGTATTGCAAACTAACTTGAAAACACACAAGACATCTCCTTTTGTAAGGTTGCCAAGCAAGGGCTGCAGTCCAGTCACGAGTGGCAACGCCCCCCCCCCCAAAGCAAATAAATAAAAAGGCACTTGGTTGCCTGACATGGAATAGCAAATGGACAGTCCCATTATTTTGGCATCTGAGAAAGATAATCTTACCACAGCCCCTCCCACTTCTCAGCAGGAATCCTTTCATGACACTGATCGATTCTGCTGCCTGAGATGGCTGCCTCACTCTGCCAAATGGCAGCGCCAGCCCTGAAACCGTGAGCCAGCCGTGGTGAGACTTACATTCGCTCTTGGCAACAGGGGCACTCAATAATAACAATATATTGTTTTCTTCTGTATCTGGCATCCACAAGGTGGTTGCTGTGACTGGACTGCAGGAGCATTAGAAACGTATAGCATAGCATCTATGAGTGTGAGCTGTGAAATCCCTGGCCCAACGCTCACCAAGCAGCCCTAGGCAAGCTGTCTTCTCTTGGCCCAGCCACCTTCCCCTCTGCATTGAACAGCAGGAGCCAGTTGCTTTGTGCACTACCTTCAGGCCCAAGACTGAGGGTACAAGGACATAGCAGAGAAAATACACTTTGATCTGCTGTGATCCTCAGTATTTCAAATCAGGTGCCTGCTGGTTTCCTCTGGTGAAACCATCCAGATGACAAACAACTATCATTTTGCAGGAGTCAGCAGGGGCAGAGCAGAGAAAGCTTTCTGCAGTTCAGATGTATACCACATAAGGAACCTCAACGTAAACCTGATAGTTCTCAAAATCTGGAAACTTGCATTGTATGTCCTTCCAGACTGTGTGATGACACAATGCCACATTCACAGACTTGTAAGCAAGGTCCAAGTCATGATGTCCAACCCTCAAAAATTTCCCCAATGTTCTTTCCTTTCTTCTTAAAAGAAAAGACAATTAAGGGGAGGAAAGGTGACATTGTTGCATATGATGCCTTCTGAATGTTACCCGTAGGTGTAGTCCATTGGGAAGCACCTAATATCTTTAAGCCATTGATTGCTCCAGTGAAGTATATCCTCTTGGTGATCCTACACCTCCATTGTTGCAAGACCAGCACAGCCACAAGTATCTGGATCCCCAGGATCAGAAGAGCTTCAGATCTCATACTTTGTACCAGAGACTATGGCCAAGGCTAGCAGGATGAGACCACCTAAATTGGTTGGCTGGAGTCTCCAGCAGGATGAGTACAGTTCTACCTCTACTGGATAATGGTCGCTAACCTCCAAAGCCTGAAAGAGTGGAAGGAGAAAGAGAGAGAGAGAAAGAGAGTGTTAGGAAATGACAAAAAGTCTGGCTTCCATCCTTTGTTCACAGAGTATATAGTATAAAATAATATAAATATGGTATGAAAACAGTCCTAATCAATTATCTCAATTTGTTTTGAGTGTCATCCCTTTGACCTTGATAGGTCTGTTTATTTATTGTATTAAGTCTTTTGCAAGCACCTTACATTTATTTTATAATGAAAAGAAGGACTTAAGTTCATTAAACAAACAAATTGAGTCATTCTTCAAGGGAAAATGACTGTGCATGTATAAACTGGGAGTGGCAAGAAGCCCTCAGTACCTCTGCCTCCGAAAGTCCAAATTCCTTGGGGAAATCAAAGGCTTGAGCTGAACCAGGTACAACGGCATCCAGGCACCGCTCACCATGCACCACAATCCTGTTTAGGGATGAGGAAACGTAAAACATGGGTGATAGCAAAGTGGATCATGCATGTTTCCCCCAAAACCACGCCTGGGTTCCTAGATCTCATGACACCGTGACATAGGTAATTTTAGATGCTACATGGGCCAGTGATGAGTATCTGGTCTTCCCAGGTATCACAGGCGATGACTCCCATCATCGTCAGAAATAGACAGGTGCATTATACTTGATTAAACCATTGATTTATCTTACCCAGCATTGTTGACACTGATTGGCAGCTGCTCTCCAAGATTTCCAAGCAAGAATCTTTACCACTTATGGCTAGAGGTGCTGGGAATTGGAGCTAAGACATTCAACATGTAGAGAGGAGGCTCTGCCAATGAGTCGTAGCCCTTAACATTGGCCATACTGGCCAGCCTTCTAAGAGTTGTCATCCAAAATGCATGGAGGACTCAAAGTTTTCCTTTTTCGCATAGACTTAATAGGCATACTGTACCCCTTCTTTGGAAGCAAGCTAGCCCTGATGCATTTGGGAGCCCTCCCTCTCATGACACAAGTAAGGCCCTGGACCTCTGCCCCAAAGTCTTGCATTGGCAGATTCATGATCCTACCTGTCATAGGCACAGCGGGTGTTCTCTCGAACAGTCGTGTCAGCTTTGTCCCCAATGAGCCAATGAAAGCCAGGTTTCTGACGCAGCCGGATATTCCCCCATCGTTTTTTGGCCACATAGCCACAATCAGCATTAAAATCGCCCAAGAAAATCATGTCCTGTGGGGTGAGCGGTGGAAGTCCATTAGGTGTTCTATACATGAGCAATAAGATTGGTGGGTTATTCCACAAGTCATAGGAAAGTTATACCAGGTATGTGTCAGGGTCAGACAAACACATTTTTTTTCCTCTCTGAAGAACTGCAAATTCCTTCCACTAACACATGCTCATTCACGTCAAGGTGTACAATATTCAAAGGTAATCAAGCCACTTTACTACTGGAGGCAGACCATGTCTCAAATACCTCTTATTTTCCTGCTTCCCAGCAAGCGCTGTCAAGGTGTACAATGTTCAAAGGTAATCAAGCCACTTTACTACCGCAGACCATGTCTCAAATGCCTCTTATTTTCCTGCTTCCCAGCAAGCGCAAAAATACAATAATACCAGTGTAAATAGTGAACAGCTTACTACCCTTTCATGACACTCCAAATCTGCTGCCTTAGGGCAGTTCTGCTGCCTGATCCTCACCCAGACACTAGCCAGTATCCCCTTGAGGAGCTCTGAAGGTGCAGCAGGAATGACTTCATTTTCAGACATCATTGGCAGTGGCAGACTGCTACTAATTAAAGAGTCCCTTTCTTGATTTTGAGGTGTGTGTGACTCGTGTGCAACAAGATGAAGTTATACAGACCTGAAATCAAGAAAAGAACTCTTTAATTAGCAGCAGTTTGCTGTTGCTGGTGACGTCGCTCCCTCTTAGCCAGTGAAACTCTGCAAGAGGATGCTGGCCATTGTTGTTACATAATGAATTATATATTTAGTATTTTTATTCTGCTTTTTGGATATTCAGAAGGCTTCATCCCCATTATCTTCTAGTTCTTGCAAGAATTCTGCAGCACTGGTTTATATTATTACTCGTATTGTTGACAGAATACCTGGAGTTGAGAGCTAATGACTTATCTAAAGCCATGTAGTTAACTGGTTACAGACATGAGATGGAACTGCTAGCCACAGTAATTCAAGTAACAGCCTTCAGACTGGATTACTGTAATATGTTTTATGCTACTCTAAAGCACTCAGTTGGACATCTATGCTGCTGCCAGGACTTTAACAAGAATGGGTTGTATATATCACAAAATATTCTGCCACTGTTCCACCTGCATTGCTCATTTTTTAATTTTTGATCATAATAATCCATAACACTTCTCTTCCCCTGAAAAAGTTAACAACCTGAGACCTTGGTAGATCAAGGACTACATTTTGTTCAATATATACCTTCAAATATACCTGAGTTAACCAACCCTGGAAGTCATGCTTTGTGTTCCTTTATCCTTAAGAGCTGACAGGAGAAATGAACTAATTATTCTCTTCAATTTATTACCTCCTTTCATCACTCCGTGCCATACCTCAATGCCCCAGTGTGCGTGCACATTGAGGAAGACATCATAGAGAGCATCAATTTCAGTTTCGGCTTTCGAGGGCACTGTATGCTGTGGGATCAGCACCAGTTCTGGAAGCTCTTGAGGGAACAGAAGTGGAAAAAAATCACCACAAGGGTCATAAAAGCCTGGTCAACTTAGAATCTAGACTCAACACAACCTCATGGGTTTAAGAATAATTTAAGATGACTGAAACCACAGTTTGCTACAGGTTTGGTTTCACTAAACATAGGCCAACATCTGGTTGTGTAGTTAGGTCTGTGGAAGGGAGACAGAGGAATTTAAAGCCTTTTTTTTTTAAATTTGCTAGCCACTAGCAAATATTTTAGCCATGCATCCACCTGATGTCTTGGTGCACACCTGAAAATCCAACCAGGGGCTCATTAATTGCCCATAAGAATCCACCACAAATTACGCCATTTGCTTCTTGCAAGTGTTAACTATGCATCAGGTTTCGGGGCATGGTTGATATGAACTACCTATGAACTACCATTCCTTGAATTCAGATATAAAGAGGACTATTTCTTAAAACAACAACAACAACAACAACAACAACAACAACAACAACAACAACAACAACAACAACAACAACAACAACAACAACAACAACAACAACAACAGTGCTTCTATAGTTTTCTCCTCTGCCATGCAAAAGAGGAAGAGAAAGGAATGGGGAGTCCAAGGCCAATGTGGTCTGTTCACAGATAGAAAAACATGCTGAAACATATTCTTTTTCTTAATTAAAGGGGGAGAGGGAAATCTGGTGGTACTGTTGTTGTTATGTGTCGTTGTCTCCAACCTATGGCAGCCCCTATTCATGAGCAACCGCCCCAGTGTCTTGTCCTCAACAGCCTTGTTCAGCTCTTGAAATTGCGGTTCTTTTAGGGAGTGGATCCATCTCTTATTTAGTTTTCTTCTTTTCCGGCTGTCTTCAGCCCTTCCCATACTGGGGTGTCTGTGTTTTCAATTCTGTGGAGTGCTTTGCTTATTTCTGCACATGTTTGTGTTTCTGGGACAGACGGGGGTTTGTCTGTTTCTCTGACCTTCACCAGTTTCACTTCCGCAAACTAAGCATGATGTCATGCTTTGAGGGGAATATTGTTTGGTATGTGGGGCTTAGATCTCAATCTCAGTCTTATACTGAATTTCTCAGGTGTGTTTCTGAGCCTCTGAGTGTCTCAGATTCCTTCCTGTACCTTCCTTCTGTGAAACAGCTATTTTGTTCGACCTTGTCGGATCAAATAAAAGGTTTGGCGTTTGGTGCTCGGAACTAACCCATGTTTTATAGGCAGTTTCTACAGTCTGTAACTTGTCCTTTATGACTAGACAGGCTCCCATAGCAGCCATTTTGTGCCTTGCAAATGGTTGGGCTCACTATGGTTTATTGAATGTTTAAACCTATGGCAGCCTCTGGTGCAGAACACTGTGAAGGGGGTGCGTTAGGCATATTTGAAATGGGGCTTCCTAGCAAAAAGTGTTGCTTCTCTCCTATCTGCAGATCCAGCCTGTCCTTTGGTACAAGTAGAGTCAGAAACCCTGACATTCCCTGAGCGCTCACCTTTGGTGGGCAGACTGAAGCGCACAATGAAGGGCTCTCGTGCAAAGACATCAGGGCGGTCAGGATGGTTGTCTTCATATTTATAAGAATCCAGCATCCGTGTCTTCTTGTTCCTTTGGGAAAAGAGAGCCAGAGGTAAACAGAGAAGGATCTGACCTCTGGAAGGAACTGAATGTACGGCATTAACAACCAATGGGGGGATGATGCTCCAAAGCAAATATCGGCTTCAAAGAAGAAGGGTTTCCCCTCAGCCTTCCAGCAAGGGTGCAACAGGTAAAATTCTCTGCTTTTCCGCCTGCTCTAATCCCTTTAATTTTCAGACCCTCACGTCAGCTTTTGCAATTTGCCTTTTAAAAATCTTTGAATATTAGACAGCAAAGAGGATACTAAAATTAGATCTTTTTGTAGCAAACACATACCCAACACTTTCACATCTTAGAACATAGACAGTAGGACCCCCTTATCCACGGGATCAGTATCTGCTGATTCACTCATCCACTGTTTGAAAATATAATATATATATATATATTTTAAATCCTAGAAATATACATTTCTAAAGATGAAGTCACCAGAATGGGCCACTAGAGGGAGCAAGAGACAATGCTATATAGTATTCACTATGATCATAGTGTTCACTATCATCCATGTTTTTCAGTATCTGTGGATGTGGGGGTTGAAACCAATCCCCCACAGATACAGGAGTCCTACTGTATTCCTTCAGTAATATGCTGTCAATTTCACTTTTTCTGGTGGCTCATGTGGAAGGAAGGAAGGAAGGAAGGAAGGAAGGAAGGAAGGAAGGAAGGAAGGAAGGAAGGAAGGAAGGAGCCAAAAAATGCTGATGCTGTATCTTATATTCTCTTCTAGAGAAATGTTGTAAATCCTTTTCCCAGGAAAAGTTGTAGGGAGGGTGCAAGCATGAAGGAAGTGAAAGTTAAAGAATCCAATAAAGTGAGGAAGTAATGTAATAGTCTATATTCTGAAAGGAAGAAAGAGGAGAATGGTATTGCTTGAGTGTGGTTGTGCTATCTGTTGAATATTGACTACAGAATTCATGCATTACATAGATCAGGAGTCTCCAAACTATGGCCCATGAGCCACATCTGGCCTGCCTTGTCTTTTTATCCAGCCCGGGCATAGGAAGAGGAGAGAAGGGGGACCCAAAGACAGTGGGGGGTCAGGGATCACTTGTGTCCCCTTTCCCTCCTCTTTCAATGCCTAAGTGGGGATAGGAAGAGGAGCAAAGCCTGATCTAAGCAATCCTCCACCCCTGCTGTCCTTGCTTGAGTCTCCCTTCCCTCCTTCAGCCCTCAAAAATGTGTAAAATATATGATGTGGCCCTCACACAGAAAAGTTTGGAGACCTCTGATGTAGATTGTGGTAGCAGAACACGGTGATACGAAGTGCCTGACAGTGATTGCCCCACAGGCTTCAGCAAGGACTCCCTTGGCGCTAGGGGGGAAGCTCTGGCCTTCCAGATACTATTATACTACAAACCTCATCACTTCTCTGACTCTTGGCTATGCTGGCTAGAGCTGATGGGAATTGGAGTCCATCTGCTTCTGGACAGTTGTATGTTCTCCATTCCAGGGAATAGTGCACAAATCAATTCACATGGTGTCTAAAACATAAGAACTGCTTCCTCATTTTTTTGCAGTCATTCTGATCATGATGATAGATATGGTTGGTTCTTCGTTGCATCACTCTCTACATCGAAGGTAGTAGTGCGGGGATTCCAAGAGCTAAATGTAAATCACAAGCACAGTTTGCTGCACCTGGAAGTTGCCATTTCTCAGGATACAAAAATCAAAATATCCGCAACTGGTAGAGAAACTCCACAGCAGGAAAAGCAAAATTACAATCGCCTAGTGTTAGTTTTATTATTAATTTGTATAGTATTCTGCTGAAACTTGTTTACTCGTTCAGTTTTCACATATAAGGTGCCAACAGCAGAACATATGCATTAAATACTATTATAAATGTAGGGCCAGCCTTACTACCAGGCAGAGTGAAGGAGTTTCATACCACTTTTAAGAAAGTCTTTCAAACATCAAGTAGGGCAGGAGTGAGAGCTCACATGGCTTGTAAGCTACAGCCCATGGAAGCCCCCAGGGTGCTCAAATCACCCAAAAAATGTTGGTGGAAAAAAGGAGGGATTTGGCCCTCCAGAAGTTTCCAGGGAGTGCAATGATCCTATAAACAAAGCTCACCCCACACCTTGATTTGGGAGGGAAATGTTCTTTTTGAAAAATGGAAATAAACATCTGCTCGTTCCTGGATTTGTTGGGAGCAGGGGCATTCCTCAGAGTGGTATAAACCAGAGTCATCCACCCCAAATTAGGAAAGCAGGTAGCAAGGCTGGGATATGGATGAGATTGACTGTTAATTAAAATAAAAGATAATGTGCGGGTAATACGATGTCTTTGTTTTAAACAAAGTAAGGTGTGATATGGTTTCTGGGCAGTCTACCCCCCCACAACACCTTCAGCCCCTTCTCTCCTAAATGCAGGGTGTTTGTAATATCACTGACCTACTTATAGTATTCATATCTGAGATGTTATACCACAGTGATTTGAGAACTAACGAGCAGCATATAAAGGCTAGTCAATGGGAGCAATAGCTAAAATAAGGGGGAAAGAGGGAGCACTCACCTGTACACAAAAACATAGCGTTCTTGATAGTTACTGCGCCCCAGCAGAGGGCTGGTGAGGTAGCTATAAGCATCGGAATCCCCCTCAAACCTGACAGGAGAAGAGATCATTCAAATTAATTCAATTAACTTCATTTGAAAGGGAAATGAATATATATATATATATATATCCTATTTGGCTTGCCGCTCTTAATAAAACAATGAAAACAACAACAAAACACCTTCTTTGCCCTCTCCTCTCTCTTCCTCTTTTTTGGGAGGAAGCTTTCAATTATTTTTTTTCTAAAAGGTTTAGCACATCAGCACTTTCCTAATAGTCTTTTACAGAAACACTTTCTTCCTTACCCTGCCCCTCCAAGAGAGGGGAAGAAGAAATTAAAAGGAACCTTGCTGTTGATTTCCATTGCTTTCATTCATTACAATGAGGTTTGAGCAGGAGGATAGCCAGTGCCCCTCGGTTGCTGTTTTTGTTGATGCTCCCCCACATGTGTCCATTTCACTTGTTTTCCAGCTCAGTCACTAAAAACGTCTGGGTCAGCTCCGCTTGACTCTCATAGGGAGCCGTTCAACTTCTCTCCTAATGATCTACCTTTCCCATTATGATATGCACACTTTTCAAATTCCTACTCACCCTTTACTAAGGGTGAGACTATTTATTTATTTTTATTTATTTATTTATTTTATTTCTATCCTGCCTATCTGATCATATTAGACCACTCTAGGCGGCTTACAGTAAAAAACAACAATGTAATTTTAAGACTTTACAGTAGAAACGTAAATAAAAAAATAAAGAACAGAATAAGAAAAAAAAGATCGTCAAGGGTTTTCAACAGACTACACTGTTGAAATAAATTGGGAGCTGGTTTGGGATTTTTAGAAACTGATTTAATGTCACCTCGTCTTTGTCTCAGCATGTGTGTCGTGATGAGATAACTTGATGTCTGACTGTATTTCTGTGTGGTATGTCAATCTACCAGGGACTTTGAATCATTGTATTTATACTCAACGTAGCACTTTGGCCCTCCAAGTCCCGATTTTTCCTCTGCCTCTTTAAGAGTCATCATATACAAAAATTGTTATTGTTCTTCTGTATGGCCATTGTGTTGTGCTGTGTTTGTCCTTGTGTAGAGAATTCTTTACCAGTGCTCTAAATTGCCTTTTTAAATACAGTATTTTCCCCCCCTAGGTAGTTTGAACTTGGGACCAAAAAATTCACTGACACAATTTAATCCGACGCAGGCAGTCACATGTGCTAAAACAAATTTATAACAACAACAACAACACCAGCATGTACACAAACACCACATGGGTATTAAAAACACACTCTTAGATATACATCATGAAGTTGCAGATTTTTAACTGGATTTCAAGCATATGAAACTCAACACAAAAACAGGAGTACTACAATCTGTAGTTGGGGCCCTGAGAGAGATTTTAGGTGAGGTGAAAAGACAGCGAACTGCTGAAGGCGAATGATTTGTCAGTTAACAAAATAACTGACAAATCAACAGCGAACTGTTGATTTGTCAGTTACTTTGTTACTACTATACACTGTATGCCAAGGCTCGGGCTGTGGGATGTTTGGCCAGCAAAACGTCTTGGGTCAGCCTTGTCTTTGCAAGACGGTCCCTTTGTCAGGGGTCGCATTTCTTCCACATTCCTCACACTCACCGATTCAGGGCATCCACCAGGGCAGGAACTGCCTTTCCTTTCGCATCCATGACCTCTTGCAGGACAGCGATATCGCAACGAGACAGGATCTGTGGAGTGCATAGAAAGAGAAAGAAGCAGGCAGAGGGGCCTTCGTTATGCATCTGGACCCGTTTTGTTTTCCTTTCAGATTTCTCCTCGCAGTGGAAGCCACCACCCACAGGCCTTTGCATTGCCAGAGGGTCAGGATAGATGATGGAGGCAGACGCCTAAAAGGCCTTTTAAAATGCAGCTTCGGCTCACTTGGGCTGAGGGTGAAGAGAGTTTGGTGGGGAACTAATTTCAACAGGACAGTTGGTGAAAAGGGAGGGAAGTGTTGCTGATACTTCCTTCACCTACTATTCTGCCCTGGGAGGGGAGTTTTATTTAAACCCCAAACCACAAAGATCAGAAGAAGAGTCAGAAAGCCTTCATTTTAATCCCTATCACAGCACACGGCATAGAGAGGTTTAAGCCTTTCCCTCCAGTGTGCTGGAAAGGACTAAAAAGTGTGCCACGGGGTGGCAGGAAAATGCCACGAGCCAGACTGGGGAGCCTCCCAGGCCACATGAGGCTTGCCCTCCCTGCCCTATCTCCACTCTGGCACCAGAAATAAAGCCAAGCGGGGGAGGGGGGAGAGAAAGGAGGAGGTGTAGAATTCTTAACCTTCACATGTTTCTCCCTGTGAATTCTGTCTTCTTCTCTTTTGCCAGAAAAAGTATCCATTCAGGAGGGAAAAGTACAAAACTAACTGCGCGTTGGTTTTCAACCGGTGGCACTGAGAATCCTTGGCCTGAAATCATACCTTCTGCTCTTAAGCGGCCCTGTCTATTTCTTCCACAGGCATTAGAGGAGAAGTGAGGAACTTTGGGGCTTCTGGATGCTTTTGGCCTACAGTTCCCATCAACCTCACTTGAGGGATAAGCCTTAAACCTCACTGAGCCTGACCAATTGTAAGAGATCGACTGACTGCCTCCCCCAACCCAAGGGGCTGGAGGTCCAAAGGTTTCCTCCTCCTGTTTTTCAGGTTGTCTGTTGACATTGTTCGCTTGATAGGAGCAGCTCTGCTGTGTTCAGGAAGGATCCCGGCAGCAATCAGGTGTTGCTGGGGAACCAAGTCTCTTCCCTCTTCCTTTTCTTCCACTCCCTGGACTAGACCCAGCTTGTCCACAGATCTGACACTCTACCTTGACAAGAACGTCCATGACGTTGGCTTTTTCGGCTTTCCCTTGGGCAAAACGCTGAGTGTTGAAGGCGTAGACCCAGCTTGTCTACAGATCTGACACTCTACCTTGACAAGAATGTCCATGACGTTGGCCTTTTCGGCTTTTCCTTGGGCAAAACGCTGAGTGTTGAAGGCGCAGATCCGGACGGGGGCTCCGGCAGGGCACAGCAGCCACAGCAGCAAGATGGGCAGAAGGCGGGAGAAGGGCGCCATCCTGAGGACTCCTGTTCGATTCTTTCCACAAATAGATTCTAGGCAGATTAATAAAATAGAGAAAAATGGGGAGTCAGGCTGATTTGGGAGCTGGTGGTGGTGGGAAAAAGGCATATGAACTGTTTGCAACAATGGACACCCAGAGTGAGACCTCTGGGCTAGGCTAAATATAGAGAGAAGTCCTTCTAAATAAAGACAGGCACAAACTGAAGAGCAGAAACAGCAGTGAAAAGCATGATGGTTAATACTCCATGTGCCAACAGTCCTCAGTAAATTTTGAGTGGAGCATCATTGGCATTTTCCCTTTCAGCATGAGTTAGTAGCTTCAGGATGTGTGCGGAAAATAAGTCAATTTTCTTCAGGACAATGAGTGTAGGGAGACAGTTAACCTCTTCATTCTGCATGCGGCCCTTTGACGCATTTTCCAATAAAAATAAAAATAAAATAACATTATGTAATGAAGTGTGGGAACACATTTGATATAATGTATACTGTAGTTTGATCTGAAAAGCCCTGAGAACTTCTGTTCAGGTGTAGGCCTCAGAATACATTTCTCTCATCCCTAACAAACTGGCTGTCTATAGTGGAGGAGATATTTGAATTTAGCTTTGTGGGAAATTGAAATGGCAGACAGATATCACACTTCTAACCCCGTGGAGTGTGGAGCATACCTTCTGCAGCTAGGTAAACCTTCCAGGGCTTATTAACAGAACAAAGGGACACTTGGGCCCAGATCCCTTCAAACATGGAGCCATTCCTGTTGATCTTAAGGACTGGAAAGAGTGACTTGGAAAATGTGCCTCTCAGATATGGTGGGCCTCATGGAGGGATGGTAAACCTCTAGCCCTCCAAGACATTTCTGACCTCTCATTTCCATAGCCTTTTATAGTGCTGGCTGGGGATTCTGTAAAAAAGACACTTCCCTCTTACTTACAGTAAATAAATATAACTTTTGAAATGCAATTTTTTAAAAGGCCTTTAATTAAAAAAAAACCACACACAGGCACACTTTGGGTTCCTATTTAAAGGGCCACCCTACCACTGCACAGTCTGTAATTCAGGACTGCAACCATGAAACCAGTGGGTGTTATTTCAAAGAGGAACTACATATCTAAAGAACAAGCACTGCATTTTTTTAAGGAACCAAGGAACAGAAATCACCAGATGATGACCAGCAACAGATGAAAGCTTAATAAGAGCACGGGAGACAGAGTCTCCAAGTGTACCCACAGCACCCGTTGAAATCGCACCAGACGTTCAACAAGTCGCTGCGCTGATGATCAGAAGCGACCACCCCCCGATCTTTTTTCTCCACCAAGCTCGATCACCCGCCCAGTTAGTTGCTTAGGGTGTGGGTGGGTGTGGGTGCGTGCGTATGCGCGCCTGAGTGCGTATCGGATAGTTGCCAAAATCTATTGATAGAACAACCTTCCAATTAAATCCAAGAACTTTGGCAGCCCTGTCCTGTTTACTCAGAAGGAAGCCTGCTTGAATTCAGGGAGGCTCCTACTCCGATCCTAGCCATGTTTATGTGGGCATTACTGCAGGATGTACTTCGGACCGTTATTCAACCTGCCGGGAGAAAACGAGGAGGGGCGTCCTTGATCCACAGAAACGCTGCTTCAGAGACCCCCACCCCCCACCCCGGCCCCTGGCTACTCACAGGCTGCGGGCTCCGGGAGAAAGATCGGGACGGATCCTGGCCGGTGACTCGGGTCTGCCATGACACACCAGACAGAGACAGCAACAAGGAA